GTTGGAAGTAGGAAAAATGGGTTTATATATCTGTGGAATGGCTGGGGTGGGGCAAAGAGCTCTTCCCTGCTGCAGTTAGGTGTGAATGTTTAGCTGATCACCTTCATTAGCATTTGAAGGCCTGCCTGAGTCTGGGAAAATCTGTTGCTGGGAGGTGTTAATCTGTGCCTGGTTTTTTCCTCTCTGTTGTTTAGCTGTTATAATTTTAGAGTTTTTTAATACTGGTAGCCAGATTTTGTTCATTTTCATGGTTTCTTCTTTCTGTTGAAATTGTCCACATGCTTGTGGATTTCAATGGCTTCTCTGTGTAGTCTGACATGGTGGTTGTTGGTGTGGTCCAGCATTTCTGTGTTCTCAAATAATATGCTGTGTCCAGGATGGTTCATCAGGTGCTCTGCTATGGCTGACTTCTCTGGTTGAAGTAGTCTGCAGTGCCTTTCATGTTCCTTGATCGTGTCTGGGCGCTGCGTTTGGTGGTCCCTATGTAGACTTGTCCACAGCTGCATGGTATACGGTAGACTCCTGCAGAGGTGAGAGGATCCCTCTTGTCCTTTGCTGAACGTAGCATTTGTTGGATTTTCTTGGTGGGTTTGTAGATTGTTTGTATGTTGTGTTTCCTCATCAGCTTCCCTATGCGATCAGTGGTTCCCTTGATGTATGGCAGGAACACTTTTCCTCTGGGTGGATCTTCATCTTTACTCTCGTGGCTTGTTCTTGGTCTTGCAGCTCTTCTGATGTCTGAGGATGGAGTATCCATTGGCCTGGAGAGCCCAGTTGAGGTGGTTCAGTTCATCTTGGAGGAGGTGGGGTTCGCAGATTCTTTTTGCACGGTCTGCCAAGGCTTTAATGGTGCTTCTTTTTTGACTTGGGTGATGGTTGGAGTTTTTATGTAGATATCTATCTGTGTGTGTGGGTTTTCTGTAGACGGTGTGACCCAATTGTTGATCTGGTTTGCGGATGACTAGGACATCTAGAAAAGGCAGGTCCTAGATGTCCTAGTCATCCGCAAACCAGATCAACAATTGGGTCACACCGTCTACAGAAAACCCACACACACAGATAGATATCTACATAAAAACTCCAACCATCACCCAAGTCAAAAAAGAATCACCATTAAAGCCTTGGCAGACCGTGCAAAAAGAATCTGCGAACCCCACCTCCTCCAAGATGAACTGAACCACCTCAACTGGGCTCTCCAGGCCAATGGATACTCCACCTCAGACATCAGAAGAGCTGCAAGACCAAGAACAAGCCACGAGAGTAAAGATGAAGATCCACCCAGAGGAAAAGTGTTCCTGCCATACATCAAGGGAACCACTAATCGCATAGGGAAGCTGATGAGGAAACACAACATACAAACAATCTACAAACCCACCAAGAAAATCCAACAAATGCTACGTTCAGCAAAGGACAAGAGGGATCCTCTCACCTCTGCAGGAGTCTACCGTATACCATGCAGCTGTGGACAAGTCTACATAGGGACCACCAAACGCAGCGCCCAGACACGCATCAAGGAACATGAAAGGCACTGCAGACTACTTCAACCAGAGAAGTCAGCCATAGCAGAGCACCTGATGAACCAACCTGGACACAGCATATTATTTGAGAACACAGAAATGCTGGACCACTCTAACAACCACCATGTCAGACTACACAGAGAAGCCATCGAAATCCACAAGCATGTGGACAATTTCAACAGAAAGGAGGAAACCATGAAAATGAACAAAATCTGGCTACCAGTATTAAAAAACTCTAAAATTACAACAGCTAAACAACAGAGAGGAAAAAACCAGGCACAGATTAACACCTCCCAGCAACAGATTTTCCCAGACTCAGGCAGGCCTTCAAATGCTAATGAAGGTGATCAGCTAAACATTCACACCTAACTGCAGCAGGGAAGAGCTCCTTGCCCCACCCCAGCCATTCCACAGATATATAAACCCATTTTTCCTACTTCCAACAGACCTCAACACCTCTGAGGATGCTTGCCATAGATGCAGGCGAAACGTCAGGAGAAATGCCTCTAGAACATGGCTCTATAGCCCGAAAAAACCCACAAGAACCTAGTGATTCCAGCCATGAAAGCCTTCGACAATACATATAGCAGAGTAGTTTACTTGCAGGGGTGCAACCCAGCACGTGCAGCCATAAAATGAACAACAGAACAAAAACTCACAAACCCGTTTCTTACTTCCTCCGAAGGCTTTTTCCTTGTAGCAAAAATAACATAGTTGCAGCACTTACAAAATAAAGTTTCTTGTAACACAAATAAAAGTTCATTGCTCTTCATTCTTTGCTCTTGGCTTTCCTGCTCACACACTGGCTTTTCTTGCACAGAGCTTCAGCTTTGCTAACCCAGAGCCTTTACCTTACATAGGAGCCAAACACTGGAGCTTCACACAGGACTTACACAAAGGTTCTAACACAAAGGCTCTAACACAGAGGCTAACAACTTCACAGGCACACTTGCTTATATCAAACTAATGGTTTTGCTTAGTAATTGCATCCTCTTAACTATTTCAGTGCATGTCCATTATTTTTGTAATTAAAAATACCTTATTAATTTTTAATCTCTTGACAATCTGATAGCCAAGGAACACTTAGGACTTCATCTCATGGTTTTGGGGGGCAGAGGAGGTGGGAACCGGGGAAAATGGCCTTCTTAGCATTATGTTCATGTTGCTTCATCTCCAAAGGATCCAGATAACTTTTTACCTCCATCACACATGTTTTCCTTCTTCCATTTCTACAGGAATCATCCTTTTGTTTTGCCATCACACAGGAGAATGATCACATACATATATTAAAAGGGGGTTTATCAATTTATAGCATAAGGAAGAGGGGCCGACCAAGGGCAAGATGGATGGATGGCATCCTTGAAGTGACTGGACTGACCTTGAGGGAGCTGGGGGTGGTAACGGCCGACAGGGAGCTCTGGCGTGGGCTGGTCCATGAGGTCACGAAGAGTCGGAGACGACTGAACGAATGAACAACAACAAGCATAATACCCTTTCTATCCAATGCTTAAAACAATATAATGTTTTGTGGAATACACAAATGATTTGAATGCATTTTTAAAAGATTAAACATAAGTTATCCAACAAAAATTGACACCCTTGAGCAACTTGAGATGTACTGCAGAAGTAAAGGTTTCCTGGAAAAGGAAACTCTCCTATACAGCAAATTACCCTTACTTTGGTATTGTGAATAGCATTTATAAAGTATTTACCTCTCTGTTTGCTGTCTTTAGAGTAATGGTAATAACAGCATATTTGGGATGTTTTTAAGGACCTCCCACAGGACATCACAACAGAGAAAAACACAGGAAAAGAAAACAATTCCCATCACACCTAATTTTCACTGTTTAAACTGTTTCTATGCACAGTGAAACATCTGGAGTCAATTCCCAAGTGACTTTAAAATCCTTGTGTTTCTATACACTTAAGAAATGGGCTCAAAAAGGAAACCCACAGGATGATCTTGCATTGTCTGATATGCTTGGAGAGGGGCTGTGGGATGAAGTCCTTAGTTTGTTCTTGTATCCCAAATAGCATGGGAAAGGTGTGAGAAGAGCCATTGTCATAGCACACTTTCCTATCCTGCATCTCCTTCTAAAAGTTTCTAATTGAATTATTGAAAACTTGAAATAATCACCACTTTTTGGTAGATTAAAAATGACTCAGCACCTTGCTGCAATGGCTTGTCTCTTGCTGAACTGGCAATATGTTACAGCACTCAACCCAGGCTACAGGGGTATTTCCACTCTTGCATAAGAAAGTATTCATACCACCTTGTGGAAGCCAGTGAGGTATAGTGGTGTGAATGTTGAATTGCAATTCTGGAGACAATGTCTGGAATCGTCACTTGGCCATGGAAACCCACTGGGTGACCTTGGGCAAGTCATACTCACTCAGGCTTGGAGGAGAGCAAAGCAACTTCCCTCTGAACAAATCTCACCAAGAAAACCTTGTGATAGATTTGCCTTAGGGCTGCCATAACTCAGAAATCCCTTGCAGGTACACAACAACAGCAACAACAATACTGCACTGCCTCATGGTGTCACAATGCCATTCTTTTATCCCACAATCAGAAAGGTCAGTGGAATGGCTGAGAAGCTACCACTAACCCAGTGGTAAGACATAGTCTTGAAGCTCCTCCAAAATGATTCAATCAATATCTGTTATGCCAAGCCAGTGGGGCTGTGGGAATAAACTGGCTGACTTGAAAAACCTGTTGTCAATCATATTTACATATTTTTTTCTGCTGATGTATTGGACCAGGCCCAGAGTTGATGTAGAATAATTGTGTATCTTCAGCAAAAATTCAAATGGTGTACCTTACTTTATAGTGACATTATAATAAATTTAATAACTCATTGTGTGTGATAATTTTTAAAGAGCTCCCCAGTTTCTGCCCTCATTGAGACAGTTAACATCACTCCATCTAATGGAAGATAAGCACTCTGGAAGATAAGCCAAGAACAGAAACTTAACTCTGGTGTCATGGAATCCCACAGTTGAGCTGATCTGGGGGATTTTTGGCACAGTTTGACAGCTGTGTCATACTTGCCAGCTGCTGCTTTTATCATCATCCACAGCACAAGACACTACACTATTTATGTGAGGTGAGATCCATAACTCAGCCATTAAATCTGTATCATCACTTCCTTGGTTTACTTCACTTTTGCCCATAGCCAAAGTATAAAAACCCATTTGGCAAGATTCACTTGTCAGATAGTAATTATTTGCTCAAGGGGTTCCTTGGCAGTAGAAAGTTGTAATACAAAAGTTTTCTTTATTTCCCTACCAGAAGAGAACTTTTACAGGTGCCTCAGTGGGCATTATTAAAAAAGTGCAAAGAAGTTTGCAGAGTGAATTTGTTTTTTTCTGTTGTAAAACTTAGCCCTAATGAGAGAGGGCCATCTATCTTGGTGTCGGAGACTAAACCCCAAAGGATTCCTGAAGCAAAGCTCCAACACTTAATGTGTATTTTGGAAAAAAACATCTTTCCCTTTAAAGCTCAGTTCTGTTTTAGTTTAGTTGTGATATGAGATCCTTCCGAATAGTGGCATTTCCTTTTCCTTACTAAAAAATACATATAGTCATCCTTGCGTGAGATTATTGTTTTTCATATTATTGTTGCTGTTGATGATAATCACAACTGCATTCAAAATCTCAAAATGCCTAAATGGGGTGCTATTTTTAAGTCCTATTCATTTCAGCAGGAGAGCTAAGCAAGTGTTTGTTCACTTACCTGGGATTAAATCTCACAGAAAGGGACCTATTTCTGGTGTTTAGAATGGTTATGTCAATCACTGCCAGCTAAAAATCAATGCAACTTTAGAGCTTAATTTTGACTAGATGTTGCCCTCAATCAGAACCAGAGCAAAAAGAGAGGAGAGATGAAAAGAAAGAAGGCTTTTCTTTTTGTTTGCTCCTTTCCTTTGTAAGTCACCAACATGTTTTGCAGTTAGAATATCAGTCTTTGACATACAAAAGAATGCCTCAAATCAGCACTGGCTAAGCCAATCATCCATCTTTCTACAGAAGCCAAGGTTTAACAGTATTCTTCACAATGTGCCAAAGGAATGTTATTCAATCCTGAAAATGCGGTAGGGTTGACCGGGGTGTGAATGTCCGTCAGGTGGTGCATGAAGTCTCCAGCTGTGCTGTGCACAGTGTCAATGTACATCGTCCATCCTCTTTCTGGATCTGAGTATTTGGGTTTCATCTTTAAACTTCTCTCCAGTTTTTTCTGTTTATATTTGATCTCCAGAATAGTTTTTGTGTATCGGTTCATTGTGGTCACGGATGAAGCCATACAGCAGGCAAAGGAGCCCCATGCAAGACTGTCAATAATAACAATAGCATCATTAATAAAACTGCAGAAATGCATGTATGCATTTGTGTACAATTCATTGATTTTTAAAAGTACTACCTTGCAGCTTACATGTGCCTTCAAGTACTTTTGTGCAGCCAGTGCATGGATCTCTATTATAATCCTTTCCATTATACTTCAGTTTAAAAACACATACAATTTCTATGTCTTCTGGGCATACTGAACATTTTAAAATGTCAAAAAAGTCAATTCAAATCACAACACAATCTGACCTACTCTGCTTTTATATTTCATTATTTCTAGGGCTGTACAGAATTATCATCAATTAACAATTCTATGAAGGGTGTCCAACACCTCTGTTCATGCCATTTACAGCCCATTCTGCTTCAATGCAATGCTCTCCTTGGGTTGCTGTGACCCAAGTGAATCCGGCCATGAAAGCCTTCAACAACACAATGTTCTCCTTCTTCCTCATTCACAACATCACCTCAAATAAATGAAAATCATATAGTGAATCTGATAATTTCCTGGCATCATATAATTGATATTTGGTAATGCAATGAAACTGTTTTACGAGTAAAGAACAGAGTTGCTTATGAGTGATCATACAGTCATTATTTGCTATCTTGACCCTGAAGTAACTGCACAGCCAATTATTTTTGCCCCCTTCCCTCTTCCTCTTCTGTCCTCTCTCCCTCAAAACTGTTATGCTCCTTTCACAGTATCAGAAAATATTCACAAAATGCACCCAATTTCCATTCAAACTTTTCTTCCACAGCTTCTAACATAATCTACCTTCCTAACATCTGCCAGATGGGAAGATTGTGGCAGAGCAGCAGCCACAAACTCAATTATATCCATTAAAAAGGATTTGGGCTACTTGGTCAGACAGCATGCAATGGGAACTTGTAGCACCTTCGTGATTAAGAGCCGTAGCAAACTAGGATTTTGCGAGAGCAAACTAAGCCAGCACGAGCGATGCTCCGCCTCTTTCTCCACCTATTTCCCTTTGCTAGGGCAGCATTGCGAGAATACGCTCGTGCCGCAGCAAACTACAGGAAGCTTGCGCTCGGGCTTGTTCCGAAGCCCCACCTTTTTTTCCCCCGAGGCTGCTCTCTCTCTTGCTAGCGTGCCTGTTTTCCATTGCAGAGGGCAGGGATGCGAGCATACGCTCACAGTTGAATTCTGCCAACTGCGAGAGTACACTCGCATCGATTCCCTAGCAAAGGAAAACAGGCACACTAGCAAGAGAGAGAGCAGCCTCGGGGGGAAAAAGGCGGGGCTTCAGAGCGAGCTCGAGCACAAGCTCGCTCTCGCTTCCAGTAGTTTGCTACGGCTCTAAAGGAGAAAGATTGCTACCAACTTCTTTCTCTTGGGGAAATCTCCAAGGTGCTACAAGATCCCTTTGCATACTGGTATTCCAGGCGAACATGGCTACTTTGAATTGGTCCAACAGTATGCTGTATGGGATGTGACATAAGACCAGAAGGCTTCAGGCCTCCCAAAAATATGCAAGGTGCCATTCCTCCTCCTCTTAATTAACTGTTGGATAAAAGTCGTGATGTTACTAGTGTGCTACTGCTAGATCACCATTATTGGATTTTTTTTTTGTCATGTCAGGAGCAAGTCGCTTCTGGTGTGATTATTATTATTATTGGATTAATGCTTGCCTTATGCCAATACATTATTCAAATACAAACAATGTGCCATCTCCTTCTCTCGTTTCTACAACGAAGCTCACTGATAACACAGTCTCCACCCCCTGTACATTTACTATGATTTACCAGCTTCGATTGTGAAGATATCCTTATCACCACATGGTCTATCTATCTGTGCCTCATATGAAATTCTGAAAGAGTAAGTTTTAAATATGAGAATTTCCTCCCCTTATCATTTTTACCCATTTCTTCTGAATAACTGCCTTTGTATATAGATCATTTGCTTTGTTTATCTGTCCCACTTTTCCCTCAGCTGGAATGTATTCTAATTACAATCCTGATTTTTTAAAAATGGTCAAAATCAAAGTCCTAAATTTAAGTTACCCGCAAAAAGATCATTTGTCTGTCATTATTCCCCCCCCCCCCACTCCAAAACACAAACCTACCAGTAAGACCAGCCATAATCCCAGGTCTGTGGGCGCCAGTCTTCTGGACCAAGATTGACAGTCATTTGGAATACAGTTGTATACATCATATGAGCCACCATTCCCAGGAGGCCTGGAAGATTAGATAATAGCAATGTTAGCAGTTATCTCTTACTAATTTGGGTTTGGATTTATTATAAGACTTTCAAAATAACATGTGACATTCTTAAAGAAAAATGGGAAGAAAACAAGAATAACACTCTCCTTACTTGTTTAATCACAATTCCACTACCATGCATTGATTACAAGATTTTCAAGGAAATGTCATATGGACGTCATCTTTTCTTTAAAGCATAGAGCTGCCTGTTTTGGTGGAGGGAGCCCCTGATGCTTTGTACCTGTCTGGATTAGAAAGGGAAAGCCCATCCTTTACAAAGAGATGTTACACGTGGACATTGAATCTATCCCCTTGGATGCTTTTGGCATGAGATACTTGTATAAACAAAATGGTATAGCTAAGAGCAGAGCAGCACAGAAGCCATGGCTGTTTGAAGGAAAACATGCAGGTACAGATAGGTGTGGAGTTAATATGTATGGTAACATAGAAAGTAGTCTGACACAACCTGGTCAAATTATTTGTCCATATGTTTGTTCAATTCCTGGCATCTCCAGTTTGAGAGAGCAAGGAGATAGTGGCTACACCTACAATGTACAATCAATCAGTTTGATACCACCTTAACTGCCATGTCTCAATCCTATGGAATTGTGGGAGTTGTAGTTCAGTGAGGTAGCAGCAAACTTTCACAGATAAGGCAAAATACCTTGTAAACCGTAAACTCTGATGATTACATAGCATGACTGTTAGTGGTATCAAACTGCATTAATATTCTATAGTGTAGATGCACCCTTTGACAGGATGCAGCCTGAGAGTTACTGCCAACAAGAATGGGAAAATGAATCAAAATAGTATAAGGCAGCTCACTGCACTTTTAGTAAGCTGACTGCCTAGTCCTCAGTTACTAAAGGAGGGACATTTAATCAATTGTTGAATGGTGAATCAACATGTAGATAAATGTGATGGATTAAATGGGTCTACTCCAGTCAGGACTAAAAGAAGATTTGGGTCTTTCTGTTGAAGGTTCTTGATTGGTTAATAAAGTCATGGTTTAAATACAAACACATACTGTGTGTCTTATGATTTTTGCTTCAGAGTCTAAACACAAACATTGCACCACATGACATCAGAGTGTTGATAAAAGTCGTTGCTGAAAAGAGGCTGCCATTCAAATCAGGTAATGCCTACCTGCTAGAACGGTGAATATAGCAGCAAAGGCATTGAGTTTCAGCCCATCAAGGACGCTGATGGAATGGCAGATTTCAATCAACATGAGGCTGGCACCCATCAGGAGTAAAGTAATGTAGAGGAGTTCTGCTGCAATAGATAGCCACAACACCCCTGCAATGACAAAGCACAGCAGCAGCAGCAGCAGCAGCAGCACGGAGATTCATTGGCACCCCAAGGCCATTGTTAGTTTACACAATCCATCCCCTGCAATTGCCAATACACACAAATAGAGTACAAATTTTAAAAGCCAATCCTTTTGAGTGGGAGAGTTGATAATTTTTAGGGTACTGAAAATATCTGAATGGGGAAGTAGAAGTTTAGTGTTTGTTTTAGTCAGGACATCAACCATTCAGAACTACACCTTCAAAACCCTTCCTTGTCCAAGTGAAGCTGCTTCACACCTGAGAAGAGGAAGTTATGAAAGGATAGATTGGGACTATTCCCAACTAACCCTGATTGGACCTAGAGTAGACATCACACCCGCTTCCCTGGGATTCTTCTTCTCCACTCTCCTCTTTTTCAAATCAGTAACAAAGTAACAAGCCTGATAGGAGAGACAGCTCTATGAGCACAGTTTGCAGCAACTGAAGCAAGTTTCGAACACAGGGAATGAATCCAAGGGGAAGGGAGGAAAATGGACATTTTAGATGCAATTAGGAAAGTGGGAAGACAAAGATTGATTAGAACCACCCTTTACAAATAAGGATAGTGTGAAGTTATGCCCAAAAGCCTTCAGGTGAAGTGTAGGTGACCAGAGCAGAACCAGAAAAAAGATGCCAACTCTCATCACATATACTCTGTGCTCCAGTCAGCAAGTGTCCCAGGAATCAAGTAGTTAGAACTTCAAGAACTCCTGAATAATTAATTCAGTCAATGTCAGTCATGGGTTATCCATTGAGATGAAAAGCAAAACAAGAGGGTCATTGTCAACTGGTCCAGGAGTTGTTACAACAAATTAGCAGTCCAGACACAAGAGCCAGCAAGGAGTAAATGGAGTTGTCAAAGCACAGCTGGTACAAGGTCAAGAAAACACAAATGCCAAAAGAGTACTGTCAAGTCATCCAGATAAGGCAGTTGTGGGTAAGAGAGATACCGGGGAGTTTTTGGGAGATTTATGGTAGCTGTCTCCAAAACACCAGGTACCTATTTAATCAGCATCTCCTATTTAACAGTTGCAAGGATTAGCACAACCTCTATTACTTAGTGGTTCAGAAAGGCACATACATCTTCAGCATCCTCAGTATCTGACATATTCACTGGAGAGCATGGCCTCCAGCTCCCCAGACTCTGAGATATCATTGTCACTTCTGTGTCTGAATTGCCTGATGTCCAAATCTGAGTTATGACAAGGCAATTTGAAACAATCCAATCAATATGTGCAGAGTTGTGAAGGAACATGGCAACCATATCACAAAGTCATACTACAGATTGATACCTCTGCAAAGAAGGCTACATAGCTAGAATTGTTGGTGTTACAAAGTGAATTTTGCCTCCCAGTGAAATTTTCCTTCTGTCCCCACATTTCAAGCATTGCACAGAATGAGACAGTGAAAACCAATCACATGGATTTTTCTTATATTAGCTGTGTTCACATATCCTTGATAACTTTTTGTTGAATGTCTGAACTTTTTTCTAAATGCTCAACTAAAGTTTTATATTATTCCAATGCTAGAGATTCTGGGATTGAAGAGAAAATTAATGGGGAAGGGGAAGAATTGGTACATTATCTGGGCAGAGCACAAAAGGGTGCCTAAACAGAGAAGGATAGTCCATTTTATTGGGTGGGGGTTGAAGGAGTAAAACCACCTCCACCCCGTGTAAAATGAACTATCCCTTTAATAGTACCAAATAATTTATATTTGGAAATACGATGACCTCCTTCTGATAGCTGCTCCTCCGGAAAGTCCTTATACATATTTTTTTGGGATTAAACTCTGGTTATTCAATACTTGAGTTTCCTGACAGATGAGCACTAATTTGAAAAAATGGTAGAAAGAATAACTAGGACCAATTCTGATTTACCTATAACCATGTCTTAACAGAGATGAACTCTTAATGTGGGACAGACTAGAAATAACATTTTGCCTTTTATGGGCCTATAATGGAGCAGAATTTAAGTAGCAGAGTGTGGCTGAATCTACACAAGGGCTATACCCCAGCTCCAATACACAGTATCCTGCCATGGTTTGACCTTGTTAACATCACACATCTGCTTTGATCTAAACTCAATCTTTAGATCAAATGTTGGGCCCAAAACAAGTCCCCCACCCTAAGGTCACATCTGTACAAAAGTGCAGTTTTACCATGTTAACATGTTCATTGTATCAGATTTTTTAGGTCACAGAGGCTGCTTTTTCTTCTTCCTGGCACAAATGGAGATATACATGTATCTGCATATTCATATAAAATAATAGACTGTGCTGTCATTCCTATGGCCTACTTGCATTCACATTTACTGGTTTGCATATGACTCCCTCAATGGGCTCTCCCATTCTGCTTTCCTTTTGGGTATTCAAATATGCAAATATCCACCAACACACACTGATTTAAAACATCTTGGTAAAAACCCAAGATTACATTTCCATAGAGCTTAATCAAATGTAACAACAACACCCCAACTTTCCTGTTCTTTTCCCCCTGAAACCTCAGACATCTCCATCCCTGTGTGTGTTTAGAAATGTGTGTGTGCATCTGTCAGAAGAATTAAATGCCTCCTCATTCAGTTTTGGCAACAATATTTAAAGTTGTCAATGTAAACTTCCTTCAGGATTTAAAAGAACATAATAATAATAATAATAATAATAATAATAATAATCCTTATATTATGGAATAGCTAGTTTGTAAACCAATTGGCCACAAACCAGCAAAAAATATAGCCCAACCCTACCCATTTTTCTTTGATTCTATAGAGAATTTATTGTCTAATGAAGCGGTAATCCACTGAATTCAGCTGGATTTACTTCTGTGTATAAAATCACACTGTTAATGCAGGGTGGCAGGAGTACTGGGCATTCACATTTCCCCTCTGGCCCATAAATGTTGGGCCCAAAACAGGAGTTCTCTCGATGTAAATGTATTTGGAAGTGCGACCTAATCCAAGACATCTTTACTAGAACCCGGGATTAAATTCCCATTGAGTTTAATAAAATGTAAAACACAGCCCTAGTGAGAAGAGAATCAGATAGTTGAATATGCAAATAACAACATACACTGAATGTAAAAAAAAAAAAAAGATGACACCATGCTTGCCAGATGAGGATGCCTGTATAACCAAACTGGCCTGCTTCCCAACCACCCACTCCCCAATTCCACCACAACCTTGGTTTAGGGCACAGGATACACCTGTAAAAAAATTGTTTTGCCTAGAATCTGTGGAGTAAATAGTGTTTAAAACAGTGGTTCTCAACCTGTGAGTCCCCAGGTGTTTTGACCTACAACTCCCAGAAATCCCAGCCAGTTGACCAGCTGTTAGGTTTACCAGTTGTTAGGATTTCTGAAATTTGAAGGCCAAAACAATTGGGGACCCACAGATTGAGAACTATTGATCTAAAAGAGATGCTTTTCTTTTGAAACCAGAGAACTATCATGTGTCCAACTAGGAGCAGGATTGAATTAAGGATGAATTTTTTAACAGGTGTAGATTCAACTTGAGTCCCACCCCAAACATCCATATCCAGTTTCATCTCTTGAACACTTATGCATGTCACAGAACCCATGTATTTGTGTACTTGGTGATACAAACTTTTTTATTTGATATTGTGTCACTTTCATGTAGTATGACACAATTTGATCCTAAGGAGGATTTTCCTAAATCTCCTTATTCAGCAACTTGAGGCCTTATACTTTGAAATCCAACTTGGGCTTCTTTGAGATATTTAAAGTATATTCCACCCTCAACCTACAAATTCAAAATACAATGCAAATGTGAGCTTGCCATAGATTTGAAATGTAAAGTCAATGTATGAAAAATACAGTTATCATTGTGTCTTTTTTTTAAAAAAAAGATTTCTTTCGCCATGAGTCAGAACACCAAACATAAAGATAAAAATAGTTATAACTTGAAATAGTGACAGTATATAATTACCTCGATCTGCTGGGGGTGTCAGGCTGATAAAACTTCGGCACTTCTCTCCTATTAAGCAAATATAATGAACACTTAAAATTATAGATTTTTTTAAAAAAAAAACAAACAAATGTCTCATTAGCCACTTTAGCCTCCCTGCCTTCCTAACATTTACAGGAAAACAGCCTGAAAGCAGCAGATGGCAGGGGAAACTAGAGACAGTGAGATAAAACACTCCAGCATTATTTGGAATGCAAACCCCAAGGGAGGAAACTAAAAGCATACCCATCCATCTTTATAAATCTTAAAATAGAACAGAGTTATGGCTGTTTCATGTGCACACATAGCTGGCCCAAATACTTGCAGGATGTGCCACATGAAATGTCTCTTCTTTTCAATGGTTGTCCCACATGAGGACAGCGGTACAATCTTTCATCTCCACTGTTCACATGTTGTTGTTTTTTAGAAAATGGCACATACCCACAGCTCTAATGTCCATCTGTACACTAGGCCTGGCATGTCAGAGTTGTCCTTGGCTGCAAAACCTTAGAAATGATCCCTTGGGAAGTCACAGGATGGGGTCTGGTGGTGTGGCAAAGGGAAGCCCTAGCTGGTATCATTAAGCATGATACACCGTGTGTCATCATGGGATAGCAATCACATACACATTTTCAAGACAATGCTCATACCCTGAGATTCTTACCCTTACCCTGAAGAACAGACAAGATCTATCCTGTGTATTTTACATCTTTAGCAGACCTCATGTACTCCAGTTGGGAGCCAGTGCAACAATCAAAACATCCCTACTTATTTTGGAGTTGTCTTCCTATTAATAAACTCTACAAACTAGCTGGCATTGTCCCCATGATGTGCGATGGGAAGTTGCTGATAACTGTGAGAGAAATAAGGTTGAATACTGTGAAAGCCATTCACTTCATGGCTATCATCCTCTTTCTAGTAGACTCAAATCATGGAAAAGCTTCATGAGAACCACCACTCCTCTTAACGTCCCCCCAGCAACAGCAAGGATATCCCTCTGGGCAGCTAAATTAGAAAATCCCAAATGGTTCCCCCCCCCCCCAATAAAGGCCTGCCTCCAGGTGCAAACCAAGAATGGGCAACTTGGGAGTCCCTGAACAGACTCAGAAGTGGAGCGGGCAGATCAAAAGACAACCTGGCAAAATGGCACTACCTAGAAGAATCCTCCACCATATACAACTGTGGAGCAGAACAAACAAGTCCGCATCTTTATGCTTGTCCCCAATGCCCTGCTTCATGCGCAGAGGAAGAATTGTTTAATGCTACAGACAATGTGGTCACTGTTGCCCATTTTTGGTCAAAAATTATTTAGCTGCTTGTGCTCCCTCTATTTTTATCAGTTTTATCTTTATTTATGCAATGTTTTTGACATGAAATAAATAAATTGGAGTTGCCTTTAGTATAGTGAGGGATAGCATGTTCAAATGGAAAATGCAAGAGACACAATTCTTCTTACTACATTGTACCCAATTAATCACATCCTGCACCAGGTATTCAGTACATGCACAAGCAAGGCAAGTCCTGCCCAATGGGATCAAAAGCCAGTCTGCCAATGTTCTGGGAGGAGAGATTTCTAATAGAAAACCTTTATGGTCCCCTCTGGTTTTGGGCCTTTGAACATAGTTAAGTGAGCAAAATCCTGGGAGCGTTTGGAGAAGTTCTTCAAGGGCCAGCTCTTGGTCTTCTTTTATGGATAACTAAGGATAACTCTACTTCCAAACATCATTCTCAACAACTCTGAAGTATAACCAACCCTGCTTCTATTTTTCATTTTCTATGATTTTGCCAGTTTCTTCCTCTGAATATGACTTACATCACCTAATATTCATTGGTGGTCTATATACTAGGGGTAGGTTTGAACAACTTGGTATTATGATGCAAACTGGGCATTACTGTAACATTCCAAGAAGTGAGAGTTTCTGTGTATGGGGAGAACAAACAGTGGAAGATACTGAACATTTCTTAGTTGACTGTCCAGCATATGCTGAACTGCAATACAGATATTTACATCCAGTCTTATCCAACTGCAGGTCCCCCAACAGAAAAGATCTTCTGGCATTCCTCTTGCAAGGACAAGAAAGATCCACCATAATCAGAGTAAGTCTTTTTATTCTGAAAGCTATCAAGAAAAGAGCAGATTTCCTGAAAGAAGAACCAAGAAAATAAGATTCTGCCTTGTATTTTATTTGTGTTGTATCTTGAAATGGTCATATGACTAGTCAAATAAATAAATTATTATTACATCCCATTGGTGGTTTCTCATCCAAGTGCTAACCAGAGCTGATCCTACTTCCAAAATTAGATGGGATATGGTGCCTTTAGTATATATAAATGGGTTAATGAATGGAGACAATATATAAACTACCATGGACGCATTTGAAATAGCAAAGGGTATATAGAAAACATTGTTTCAATTTTCTTGAAAGAATGCCTTTTGTGCCATCTAGTTGGGGTTACATCTGTTTGTACACTACACAATAGTAGCTGTGCCTCTCGTGTTCTTGCAGCTTTTATCTTTTAATGAACAGAGAGTAACAGTATTGATATCTGGATTGCTGTTATCCAGCTGACCATCAAAAAGCTCTACACTGAAGCACAAGGCTTACCTTCCAATGTCACAGTTCAAGAAAGACATTGATAAGCTGAAATGTGTCCAGAGAGAGGTAACCAAAATGATCAAAGCTCTGAAAACAAAGTCTTATGAGGAACGGCTTAGGGAGCTGGCTATATTTAGCTTGGAGAAAAGAACAATAGTCATCCTTAAATATCTGAAGAGATGTAATATAGAAGATGAAGCAGGCTTGTTTAATTTCTGTGGCCTGAGAGACTATGATGCAAACCAATGTATTCCAATTACAAAAAAAGAGATCCCACTTAAACATTAGAAAGAACTTCCTGACAGTAAGACCTGTCCAGCAGTGGGATAGATTGCCTTGGAAGGTGGAGAACGTCTTTTCAGGTCTTTAAAAAGGAGTTGGATGGTTGTTTTGGGAATGTTTTACTTGTGTATTTCTGCACGGTAGGAGTTGGATTAGATGACTTTGGGATCAATCCTATGATTCTGGACTCCGAGATCTGACAGGTTGTCCTGATTACCATTCCCACATTCCCTGGGGCGGCTGAACCATTAGGCAGATTAAACATTTGCTTAGGGCACCACTTGCCCAGGGGCACTGCTCTGCCAGCCAGGCACTGGAGTCTCCATGGCCCCTGAGGAAAGAGGCAAGGGAAGACAGGTAGGGATCCCTTCTTCCTCTCTCTCTCTCTCTCTCTCAATCTCAATCTTTTCTCTCTCTGCCTTCGCCCGGCTGAGCCGACCCCACGTGCAGCCAGGAGCAGGGAGGTGGAACTTCAGGAGGGTGAGCAGAGACACACACAGAGAGGGAAGGAAAGAGGCACCCAGGTAGGTAAGTATGGGCTCAGCTTTGGCATGGAAAAAGAAAGGAGCCCTCCTCAGACTCCCCTTGATCGAGCCTGCTGTGGCTTGAGTCTGCCCCTGGCCCCACCAGCTGGCCCTTTCTCCCCTCTGCCTCCAGGCTGCATCCCCACTGTACACTCAATGTAGTTTGACACCGCTTGGACTGCCAGAGCTGAATGCTGTGGGATTGGGCAATTTGGTGTAATGGCACTAGTTCTCTTGGGCAGAGAAGGGGAAAGACCTTCCACCATTCCATACCACCCAGGGCCCTTCCACACAGCCCTATTTCCCAGAATATCAAGGCAGAAAATCCCACATTAGCTGAATGTGGACTTAAATATCACAGTTCAAAGCAGATATTGTGTATTATCTGCATTGATATTCTGGGTTATATGGCTGTGTGGAAGGGCCTTCAGTCCCCATCTATTCTGCCATATAAAATGCAAATAATTTGCTTTGAGCTGGAATTTGTGACAGTGTAGACACTTATAATCCAGTTCAAAGCATATTTTGTGTATTATATACCTTGATATTCTGGGTAATATGGCTGTGTGGAAGGGCCCTGAGTGTAATATGTTTTGTTTTTCTTTTATTGCCTAAAAGCAATAATCTAGTTCAAAGCAGATAAATCCGGATTTTATATGATAGTGTTGCTGAGGTCCCATGTCTCCCAGGTCCCTTCTACACTGCCACATAATCCAGATTATTAAATTTGATAACCCACATTATCTCATTTGAACCGGATTATGTGAGTCTACACTGCCATATAATCCAGTTCAATGCAGACCATCGGTATTTGATATGGCAGTGTGGTAGAAGGGGCCTCAATCCACACTGAGTATTATATGCACTTCAAAGCCAGGCAACATTTCCACAGAAGCAAGCCCTTCGTGAGCATCAGTGCTCTGCTGTTTTGTGTAAACCCCATCCCAGCTTCAAGCTGGTTTTCCTATGTAACCATCCACGCACACAGTGAAACCACTTTGAAACTGCATAAAATGATCAGTGTGGTTGTTTTCCTCCCTGGCTCCAGACCAATGCCCTAAAATGAAAGCTAAAGCCTTCAGAGACACAAATATCTGCCGGTTTAGATCCCAGTATGTGTGTGTGTGCGCACGCACATTCCCTGCTCTAAATCAGATGGCAGTTCTACACTTCTGAATCTAGTGGAAAACAGTTATTTGTAGTATTTACAACTCCCAGAAGAGCCCAATCCCAAGCAGCAAGGATGAACCTCATTAAATTAAGGGGTGGCTGAAGCAATAGGCAAGTTACACATTTGCATATAGCGCAAAATCCTTGAGGGGCGCTCTTCAGCCGACCCCGCTTACACTTGAAAATTACCTAGGGCCGGCCCTGCACATTCCCCATAGTCTACCACATTTAAAACCCACTCAGGTCTTGTTCCCAGAACTATTCCTGCCTATGGTTCCTTCCTCTATCTCTTCTGATACCTTTCCAACTTATTTTACTCTTCCTTTGCTCTTTTTGATCATCGGTCTTTTCTATGTCCCTCTTTTCCTTTTCCTAGTTTTGACTCTTCTGCCCTTTGTCTTTTTGTCCTGCTAGCCCTCTTACCATGAAATCCCTCCTCTTCCTCCAGGAAGACTTTTTCTGAGAGCACTAGATACTAAATATAATATATTTATTTCCCACACTACCAGGCAGTGAGGTAATCGCTCACTGTCTCCCTCAAGCATTTTTATCTTCATGGAGATCTGATTTTTTTTTCTTACTGAAGTCTCATTTGTTATTTGGTACTATCATGGAATTGTGAACAAAATCTGTTTTTCATGCTATCATTTGAAATAAATAAAAAGCTCCCAAAGGCTGCACTGGTATTTGTGAAGATGAATGTCAGCAAATAAAAGCCACCTCAATAGTCTTTTGAGGGGACTAAAGGTGTGGATAAGGGATTACTATTTCTCCAATGGAATAAAATCAAATCATTGTTGCACAGAGAAGAAATATTGCTTAGTTAGCAAAGGTGTCATTGTTGGAACATGAAAATGACTTCCTGTGGCTGGAGGAAATGTTATGAATAATGAAATCAAAGGAAATCTGAGGTCAAAACAGGCCTTTGGAGTCGAACTCCAGGCTCCTGTTCAGACAAATAAGCATGAGGGTCCATAAGCGTAGCTGATTTGTCTTGCCAAATCTTGAAATATGTAAATATTACCCATTAGCATACAAAGGGAGGCATTAAGAGTAGAGTCTGGACTGAATAAAAACTTTGAAGTGTAAAGTCTAAGTACGCAACTCCATCTTTGGGTTATAGTAGGAAGAGGGGGTGATTTTGAAGGACAGGAGGGTTGATCATTTGCTCATTGAACACTTCCTTTATGGGGCAGAGAACCTATCAGTATCATGTTCATATTCATAAATGTAACTAGTTCCTCATCAGCCAAAGGGCTGATTGTAGCTTTTGGCCAATGCTTTGGCCAGGTTGTTGGTTTTGCTCCCCACTTGCTTTTCTCTTTGCAAAAAGGGAAAAGTAAAAACCAAGATAGGTTTTCTTATAAGAACTGAATCTTACCTTGGGATGTGGCCATCTTTTAAAAAGCTGGCCGAGTGCTGGCCCCCTTCTATCAGAGCTTTGAGCCCAGAAGTCTGTAATTAGCATTCAAATAACCATACTGCCCAACATTTCATAGGTGGAAATCAAGACTCATATAGCCTACCAGCATCAGAGTTGGGTCAAAATGGCAAAAGAGGGAGAACTCTCAAGCTAAGAAAGGCTGCTGCGGTTTGCTTTGGTTTGAGCCTGCAGGGAAGGGCAAGATTCTCCCCCCTCCCCCAGTCCCCCTTCCCACCTGCAGAATGATTGAGTACAACTACTTTGGTGGGGTTTGTATTTATTTTGCAGGATGTGTAGTGAACTTGAGAACAAAAGGGAAATGGAGGAGGTAAGAGAACATGGGACCTTTCAAAACAGCTGTAAACCGGGGGGGGGGGGGGGGGGGGGGGGGGTGTGGTCAGAAGAGTAATCAGAGTTGTCCGGATGACATCAGGACAATTTGGAGAGCATGAAGCAATGGGTGTGTTTGCTTCACATTCCCCATTACCTTGCCCACAAAGGGAAGAGGAAGGTGGAACAAAACCAAACTGTGAGTAAATGAGTTTCCCAAAGTTTTCTCCATATTGCTGCAGACCCATCTTTCTTTATAGAAGGTGGAGCTCTGAGGAGGACTGCCTTTCTTTATCATAAAGATATAGGTTGCTGTAAGTTTTTCGGGCTGTATAGCTAAGTTCCAGAAGCATTCTCTCCTGACATTTTACCTGCATCTATGGCAGGCATCCTCAGAGGTGACCTCAGAACTTCTGAGGATGACTGCCATAGATGCAGGTGAAACATCAAGACAGAATGTTTCTGGAACATGGCCATACAGCCTGAAAAACTTACAGCAACCCAGTGATTCCAGCCACGAAAGCCTTCGACAATATAAAAAGATATATATTTTAAAAAATCTGAGATTTGTTTAATGTAAACACATCCCGATGCACAAGTAATGTACAGCAGCCATATACCATATTTCCAGGTTTCAAAGTGCTGTATTCATAAAGTGGACCAGGCTAATTTCACTTGATTGCTTCCATTGGGGTTGGTCTTCAAAAGTAATGGCTTCCCAAAGGCCTCTTAAGAAGTGCATGGCTGAAGTGAGATTTGTGCAGAGACTTTAGGCCCACACTCCCGGGGCTGACTGTCATCTTCTTAGAGCAAATGAATTTTCCATAACATCAATATTTCTTGTTAATAATTAACACGAAGCTAATGGTGCGTGGGTGTTGCCATATGCACGCATATCCCAGCAGAGAGAGACTTTCAGAGGGGTAAACTAACTTGAACATGGTGGTTTTTATTTGCATATGGTTTCTTTTCTCACCAGATATTTTTTTTCCCAAAGCAGACATATCAGTTGTGTGGTTAAACACAGCTGGGAGAGTTACAATAGAGAATTGGGGTTAAATATTTTCCACTGAGCAGGTTTATCCTCCAAACGCATTTCAGGGGAAATGGACTGGAAATCCCTTATTTGATATGTAATATTTAATTCTACTCCTTGATACAGCTCTGCTGACTCTGGTTCAATGCTCAATGTAAATTTTATTTAAAATATCCTCCTAATATTTGGACTAGGTTAAATACCAGGTAATGTAGGCTATATCTCAGGCCCCTTCCACACAGCTGTATAAAACCCACATTGAATGGCAGTGTGGACTCAGATAATCCAGTTCAAAGCAGATATTGTGGATTATCTGCCTTGATATTCTGGATTATATGGCTGTGTGGACGGGCTCTCAGAGGAAGAAACTGGTAAAAAGCAAGAGGCAGTGTGCATATGAATACACATAAATGTATGTGGAGTCTAAAGTGTCCACATATCTACCCATAAACAGACACATACGTTTTCTGTAAAAGCAAATAAATAAATGCTTTGTGATTTTTTTTAAAATACAATGATAGTCATCCTGAGCCATAAGAGAAGAAAATATAATCTACACTTGTAGAATGCTTATGTGAGGACCAACTAAAATACCACAAAGCTGTACAAATTTTCAAGTTCACCAGAACACTTATCAGATAAAGCGTTCTGAGGGGCTCAAATGTTTTTATATCTTTGTGGCATTTTCGTTAGTTCAAATAAAGATGTTGGTTTCTTTACCCGAACTATTATTTTAGCCTACTTAGTACATTCCTCTGAGCAAAATAAATGACTTTTCCTTTTGTAGTAAAGTCATATATTCAATGTAACTGTTACTCCACACACAAATTTTTAGTAACACCCTGTCCTATTCATTTACAGGGTGTATGATGTTAAGGTATACTTGTGTCTTCCAACTTTTTATTTGAATACAAAGATAACATGGGTATGTAAGCTACAGATAGGACTGTGACATAACTACCAATAATATTCTTCAGGAACAATATATCCACGTCCACTTGGCTATTACATGTCTCTAATAGTATATTTTGAATTTATTTTTCAAGTCAGTTGTACCTTAGAGTCAGTGTCTTATTTATGCTCAAATGTGTAGCTTGGAAAGGAGGTGGGGCAAAATGAGGCCACTGATCTTCAAATACAATCCTCCTCCCCAAATAAAATTGTACTTTGTTCCCCAAATTTCTAGCATTGCAGAAAGTGAGACACTGACAATAATTCACAATTCCAACTTATGCTTGCTGTATTCACATTTCCTTGATAACCTTTTCTCTCCCTTTTGGATGCCTAAAATCTATTTCTATATATTCAAATGAAGTTTTCAGTTACTGCAGTACTGGAAATTAGAAGGCAGAAAGAAAAGTTCATGTGGGGGCAAGATTTTTTTGTAGGATGAGTGCCCTCCATCCTACTCTACCCCACAGCTACACTTTTTTATGCTCATTACAAGAATCCAGGGAGGTAAGCAGTTAGGAAACTGAAAATGGAATGTCGTTTGACAACTGCTTCACCATCAGCAGATCTGTGAATCGAATGTCGGTTTCTTGCCAATTAGTCTGACATTATCATATTTGGATCACCAGAGCCACTGCAATTATTCTCTTTCCCTACCTGCTGCCCTTCCCAGCCCAAAACACTAAAGAAATCACATAACAGTGCTTACTATCTCAAAGAAAATTGTGAGAAAGGAACTGTAAAGGGACAGCACTCACCTTCTGCATTGAGAATCTCCTCACAAGAATACCAGATACCAGCATGAAACTTTCGGTCCACAAACTTGTCATCCCCAGTCTCCCAGATGTAATGAACCACGTTGCTATTGTTTGTCCCGGAGCTGTTGAAGCGGATGCAGTGGGGGCCATCCTGGAGTTCGTTGCAAAAAGGTTTGATGACTTTCTTGATCCCTTCACACCAATAGCTGCTGCTGAAGGCTGTGATGGAGAAGATTAATGAGATGAAACTGAGAGAGAGGGCTGCTAAGGCTCTTTGCCGCCTGTCCCCCCTCATTGCCTGAGATCTGCCTACTTGTCGAGGCAGCTGGCATCAGTATTAAAAAGATGCTTGAAACACCCACCACTGATGCCGTTTCTCTCCCCCCCCCCTCTCTTCAGCATCCAGTGAAAATCCTCTGAGTGCCAGAAAACAGCAAGCAAATCGTCATGAAAATTGTGAAGTTCAGCTGAGCCAGGTGGGCAGAGAGGCTCAAAATACTCAGGGGAGACCTGATCGGATCCAGAATCTGCGAAAGCTGAGCCAAGCAGCCCTGTGAGTTTGCCTTAAGAGATTCTGTTAATGCCACCCAGGCTCAGTGTGAACAGTATTTTTATGACAGTCATGTATCTGGGCATGTCAAGAAAATGAATTTCTCTCCTCTCTAGATCCCATATGATCTTGGAAGCTTAAGCATGGTCAGCCCTGGTTAGTATTTGAATGGGAGACTGCCAATGAATACTAGGCACTGTACATTATATTTAAGGAAGGAAATGGTCAAACCACCTGAGTATTTCTTGCCTAAGATAGCCCTATGAAAATCATGGGGTTGACATAAGAGGCGACTTGAAAGTAGCTACACACAGAGAGAGAGAGCACTAGTGTAGTGTCATGGTTTGAGTGTTGGCCTAAAACTCTGAAAACCAGGGTTGAAACCCCCACTTAGCTATGGAAACCTATTGGGTGATCTTGGGCAAACCATCTTCACTCAGCCTTAGAGGAAGGCAAAGGCAGCTATAAATAATAAATAAATATGTATATGCTGCCACCCTCTCCCAGAATGGACTCGGGCGGCTCACAGTAGCACTCCAAGTGCCGCATATAAACAACAATACTCAAGTATATACACAGTGACATAAGTGTAAAAACAACAACACACATAAAATCCCACAAATAAAATTGTAAGAATTATAATAATTATAAAATTTCCTAAATTTCAGTAGAACCTACAAATAAAGCTGGTTATCAGCAGTAACAAAAGTTCAGAGCTCCCCCCTTCCCAAACAAATCTTGCCAAAAAAGTCCATGATCAGTTTGCCCTAGGAATGACATAACTTGGAAGCAACTTGAAGGGCATACAGCCATCACAAGAAGTTAGGGCTTCTACATCTCCTTAGAAAAAATAATCTAGGTAGTTTTTAGCTCCATCACTTACTTATTTAGGAGTAGTAAAACACTGTACCGCAGACTGGAGAAGATATCTTTTTTGTACTACAAAGCTCAGATTCCTCCTCAAGATAATGTTCCCATGATCTGTTGTTAGGATTGCCATGTTGAAAAATGGTGAGGGCTTCTTTACTACTAATAGCTGTGTAGAAGAAGTAATTCCAGCAGGTGTTGCTTGTCATGCAACCAGTAACAAGCAAAAACTACTGAAATTCCCTTTTCCACATCACCTTAAAGATACTGGAGCTGTTTCCAGTTTTCACCCTAGCAACCTTATCTGTTGTAAGCTCCAAGTAATCAGGAGGAAACATAGAAACATTTGCCAATTGAAGTTCTTGTGAAAGGTGCCAAAGTTATGTTTGCTTGCTTGCTTTTTAAAAAGAAATTTCAGTTTGCCACATTCTTTGGGCATTCCCTTAGTGCACAGTAGGAGCCTAATTTGTAAAACTTAGAGTCATAAAGTTGGAAGAGACCACAAGAGCCGTCCAGTCCAACCATCTGCTATGCAGAGTTACACAATCAAAGCAACTCTGGCAGATGACATTCCTGCCTTTTAAAAATTAATAACCTCTAAAAAAGAAACTTCACCAGACGTCTGAGTCAGTTTGTTCCATTATCAAACAGCTCTTGTTATCACAACGTTTTTCCTAGCATTTAGGTGTCATCTTGTTCCTTGCAATTTAAATGTCTTGCTTCATGTCCTGTAAAGATGTTGAATAGCACTGGACTTAGGGCAGAACTCTGTGGCACTAATTACTTCTCTCCAGAATGAAGAGGAGCCATTGATGACCATCCTTGGGTTTGTTCTGCCAACCAATTACAAATCCACCCATAAGCAGCATTGTCAACCACCATTTTAATAGCTTGCTTTCAAGACTATCATGGGGGACCTTGTTGAAGGCCTTACTATATCAAGATATATGCCATCTGTAGAATTGCCTTCATCTATGAAGCTTGTAACTCTATCATAAAAGACATAAAATTAATCTGGCATGACTCCTTTTTGAGAAACCCATGCTGACTTTAGTGAGCATGGCATTCGTTCTTAGCAATTTAAGGCTGTCTGTTTAATGATACGCTTTAGAATCTTTCCTGGTATTGATGTCAGGCTGACTTGACATTAATTGGGTCCTCTTTTTCCCCTTTCTGGAAGATGGAGACAACATTTGGCTTCCTCCGGTCTGCTAGGACTTCTCCTGTTCTCCAGGAATTCTCAGAGATTACTGCCAGCGACTCAGGGATTAGTTCTGCCAGGTCTTTTAATACCTTTGAATGTAATTCATTTGGCCAGGGAGAGTTGAATTCATTTATAGTAGCAGATATTCTTTTATTACCCCATTGCCTATCCTGTACTATATTTCTCCTACTGCATCATCTGCTCCATTTTTCCAGGTTGAGCTCCTGAATGACAAAATCTTAAATCGCGTTTTGAACTTTATTTAGATATGAAAAACCCATAACCCATTACAGCTACATAATTGTAGGAAGAAAACCTTACAACAACAACTACTTCTACTTCTACTACTGGGGGCACAAGCTATAGAGGAACATGTAGGCCCATTTAGTTGCTAATGAAATGCCTTCTTCTCCACAACCCAAGAAACACTACCCTTCACTACTAAAATAGCAGTAGGCACAGAATGGTTTTTTTTCTGCTAACATGCCATCCAGGATCTTAACAGTAACCTGTGGGATTTATCATTCAAGAATATGAGCTTCCCACTAAAAGTCCTCTTTCAGGTTTCACTTCCACAGTTCACTTGATGGGCAATTCAGAGCTGAGCAGACTGTGGCTCTCCAGATGTTGTTAATACTTCAAACAATTCTCATAATTAGCCTTGCTGACTAGTCAGATGAAGGCAGCAAATCAGCATAGCAGTGCTTTAAGGTAACATACCAGTGCCAAATGCCCCATTCTTCGGAAATTGGAAATCAACTAAGGAGAAAGCCACACTCAGTGGGAAACGGTGCTAGTGGAGCAGTTAATCTGCCCTGAGGCTTAGCCTCAGGTAGAGGAACTATCTTGTGTGCTAAATCTATGGGAAGGGGTATTTTAGGCAACTTCTTTAAACTTCCCATTAAATCTCAGAACAGATTCAATACCCCAGTGATATCAAAGTCTCTGTGGCCACCAGCTGCCATTGCTCCCCAGAAAGAAGTGCTTGATAAAGGCTGAGACACAAATGGTTTAAATATATAATTGTCTTGAGGATCATTTATGTCGGTCATACCCATGTTGTGCAATTCCATATCATTCCAAAAACATCCTTGTGGAGGAACTGGATATGTCCATGGTGCTCTTCCCTCTCTGGCAGACATTACTAGCAATGTGTTTATAGACTGTTTATTTACTTAATACTGTGTATATTTGATTCTGTTTTAATGGTTGCATGTTTGTATATTTTAAACTGTATGCTAATGTTTTTATGTTAAGCTGCTTTGAGAGATAAAGCAGCATATTAATTCATATAATAATAATAATCATAAAATCATAGAGTTGGAAGAAACCCCATGGTCCATCCAGTCCCACCCCCTGCCAAGAAGCAAGAAGCATTCAAAGCACCCCGACAGATGACCATCCAACCTCTGTTTAAAAGCTTCCAAAGAAAGAGCCTCCACCACACTCCGGGGCAGAGAGTTCCACTGCTGAACAGCTCTCACAGTCAGGAAGTTCTTCCTAATGTTCAGATGGAATATCCTTTCTTGTATATTGTATATTGTAGTTTGAAGCCATTGTTCTGCATCCTAGTCTCCAGGGCAGCAGAAAACAAGCTTGCTCCCTCCTCCCTATAACTTCCTCTCACATATTTATACATGGCTATCATAATAATAATAATAATAATAATAATAATAATAATAATAATGTTATTCTTTCATTTAAACCTTCTTGGAATTTTCAAATTGTTTTTTATGCTGCTATCTTGTGTATAGACAGCCACTACCTGCTTTGTACCACACTTGAATTAGCTCTTGTGTTGTTGTCTTGCCCTTGCAGCCGCCACCCCCTCCCCCCGGATCAGCAAACACCTACATTTCCTTGACTTGCAGAATATACTGAAATAAGCACAACAGTCTTTCGATCTCTCCTCTTCCACACTTCCATGTATATACACCTTGCACACCTATACCACATCAGTAGCTAAATGATGGTTAGCAAGGCTATTATGGGCCCTTCCAGGCAAGCCCCAAATGTGGGACCTGTCATGCTTTTACCGAAGGCATCCAAATGACAGGTAAACCCTGCTTTGTCCCGAATTAATTAGATATCTGGTAAGACCTGGATCTTTGGTAAAATTTGGGCTTCATCATGAGCCCAGAAAACCAGGAGGGCACCCTCCCCCCGCCCAAAGTCTTTACAAGAAGAAATAACTTACCCGGCTGCCATTAAGGTACTCCTGGAGTCCTCCTGGTACATAGAAATGATGCACCAAAAGTCGGGGGGGGGGGCATGAGGAGCAACTTTCCTCGCCCCCATCTCCTGGTGGGTCATTTCTATATGCTTCAATGTTTGACAGGGATACCTGCTATTGGTTGTATGTGGCTCCTTTCAGGTTTGTGAAGACAAGATGGTGCAAACAAATCTCCAGTCCCACTGAACCTCTGCATCCATTGTATGACTTCAGTATAAAGACTGTGCTAGGTACAGGCTGATATAAACAGCTATTCCTTTTTCTGAACCTGATTAACCAAACATGTATCTCAAAACAATTGAGGAACGAAGTAAAGAAGGATCCAATACAATTCTCCTGCACATTTTTCTTCATCTTCCTCTAAAGGGTCCTTAAAAAACTTCTAGCAAATGGTACGAGCAATCACTAATTGCAATTCATTTTATGTTTGTGTTTCTTTGCTTTTTTCCTGTAATCTCTTATTGTTATAAAGGTCCTAGTGGTGCCACATTAGTCTTTATATTACCCATCCATTCTTTCCAGTGCGTACAGCTTGTTCACTTTGACGTCTTTTAACACAGACTCATTAAGACAAAGCATTTATTGGATGCCTTTTTATTTGTTTTTCAAACTGTTAGCTTAGCCAGCTCCATTATAAGACAAAAGATTTGTCCTGGACTGGAATACACCTTTTAGAATGTGTGGAACAGTTAGTTACTGATTTTATGTTCATCCTAATTGGATGAATGTATTTCTGGGCTCTTGCAAATGTGGTCACATGTTGTATGCTGTTGTGAGATTTCCTAATGACATTTGTTGACATGTTATACCCAACCACTGGTGTATCTTCTTAGTTTCCCCTATAAAACTACAGCTGCTTTTCTCCTACATACCCCACCTTTTCCAAGTCCTTCTCCCTGCACTTCTTAGCTTTATTGCACAAAACAAACAAATCAGCATTGCAGCTGGGCCACTTTGCTCATCTCATTGCTGGTCTGCCTCTTCTCCATGATGATTCCATCTCTTGATACTAATAGCTCCCAATCCCACAAAATTCCCATCACTTACTTTGGTGTGATGGGTTTGTTCCACTGCTGTACCAACATGATATCAGTAAAGTGATGTAAAAGAAGTGGGATTCTTCTCCTCTCCTTTCTTCCTCCTCCTTGCTATTCCAAAGATGGACTTTTTCAATTTATTTTATCTTTTATAGTTATATTTGCCATTTTTGTATTTGAAGGCTGGAATTGTAACATTGCTTTACAATAAATATTTAAAATATATGGAGAAGTGGTAGTGCTGGAAGGCGGGAGGTTAAGAGGGTACTCAGAAGTATAATTGCAGGACCATGACTGAGCAATTTGAAGACAACTTCATCGATTTGTTGGTTGCACAGTGGCTTGTTAGTCTGGTATATATTTACAAGTTTCCATAGCTAAATGGAACAACTTCTTTTCATGAGACCTTACAACAAATTTCAAAGTCTTTGTATTAATCCTGGCTGTTTTCACAGCTGCTGTTTCCGGTATCAAATGTATTCTCGAGCCAAAGTGTGAAGGCCATGACAATGAAATACAAGCACTAGACTTCTGTCCAGAGGACCTTATCAAACAAAGCTGCTATTTTACTACAGTCACATTATTGTTGATAGAGAATAGATGCTGCATTGAGCACCCCCAATATAGCAGCGCTGTTCATTAATGTAATTGTGCCGATTTGCCATTTATGGTGCCATGATCATACTTTCATACACCAATGTAACTCCATCTTCCTGCACTACAGCTTTTTCTTATTTTCTATTTTTAGCACTATTGGACAATACCAGTATTTAAATTATAAGGGAAAATATGAATATAACATCTACACATATAATAAAAGTGAAAATATGTATGTGTGTTTTTGGTTGGGATGGCCACTTCATCAGACAGGCTTTCACTTCCACAAACAAATATAATGCACAGTGCTGAGGAGCCACCAAAAGCACTCCCTCCAATGACATTTGAGGTTACAGCAAGCACCATGAACATGTAGCCCAAACCCTGCCAATGGCCTCCCCAAACACCATACTGCCCACCACTCAAATTAAATTGTCCACTCATTTGGGGACAAGTTCATCCTAGATTGTATGTATTTCCTTCACCACAAATATCCCAGTGTCTCTTTCTCTCTCCATTGGTGTGGCATTTGCATGACCCTGCCCACTGCCTCTCCTTTAACACTTTCCTATTCTTTTCAACTCTGTCTGCATAACAAATAGACCAGAAGTGAGCAGCAACTAAACATATTGAAGGAGTTTGCGGGATCGACTCCACATGATGGAAGTTGGAGTTCACCCTGCATCAAGTCAGAGCACTGTGACCCCCACTGACAATAGACCTGGACCACATTTGGCACACAGAACCCCCATGACCTAAGAAAAATTCAGTCTAACACATCATGGGGAGGAGCGGCATCCCTAGTCAGCCATCTTCTCTTACTACTTTTCAGTACTGTAGTGGGAGGAAAGAAAGAGAGCGAGATCTCCCCCTACACATAAATTGCTAGATCACACTAAGACACTAACCTAAAATTCAGTTCTTTCAAAACTTTGCTCAAGTCCACTTTCCTTGTTAGATTTCTCCCACTCCATTCTTTTCTTCTTAAAGCTTGAGTAATGAATGTTTTCTCTCAATTTGCCAATCAGCCATCATTTTCAACCAATTCAGCCCTATTAGTCAAGACTCAGTACTAAAATAGCTACTACCTAATTACTTCCCCCACCTTTAGGAACAAGGAGTTAAGATGGTGACACATATCAAGTGTTCACAGTACATACTGTGCTGTATTAGCCTTCCCACAGATGTATAGAGAGCAAATAAGCAGGCCGAAGTTCCCTGCTGAACTTTCTCCACTTTAGTTGTTTTTGACAAATCTAAATCTGCTATCAGAAATGCTATAGAAATTAGGGAGGTGCTTTTGCATTAATTCACTTAAAATTGCATTAAAATGAGTATGGAATTTCTCTGCAGAGAAATTGATTACTGATATCAGACTCCACACAGATGCTAGCCGAGTTCATATGATTACATAATATATATGCCTAGTCCTTGTTAATGCTCTTTGTATGCTATTGATATCGAGCTAGAATTTGGAGGCTCCCACCCAGGAGAAAGGAGCCCTCAGACCCACCAAAGAGGGTCCAAAGCCTTGACAACCGAAGAGGAAGGAACCCATAATTTTCCCTAAATTTTCCCAAATAAATCTCACCAAGGTTGAAGAAAAGTTACCAAGTTGTTTATTGCGATCTAGCTAGAAAGGATGTCAAACTGCGATAGTTCGTCAGGAGAGACATACATGCAGTGAATTTTAGTACATTTTTATAGAAAACAGAGCAGTCAAAGTTCAAATTTCCCACCTCCCGCCCTCAGCCGGCTTCTTTCTGATTGGTTGTCATTAAAAGCTGGGGAGGAGGCGTGGCCAGCCACCACTCTATATTTATGAGAAGGATGTGTTTAGCATATCTTAGAACAACACGTGGCAAGTGGACCTACAGATTCTTGAATTTGAACCATGCCCTCCTGATGTTGTCTTTCAATAAACAAAGCATTTTTAAGCAACAACACATTTGTATGAAACATCTAATTTGATCATGCTGCCAAATTGTAACAATATATCTTACATAGTCCCCTCTTTGAAAAGTGGTCATTATATTGTTCTGTAGGACTCACTTAGGATAGATTCTATGCCATTGATAACAAGTGGGATCTGCATACATGCACTCACAAGCACAAATGTTATTCTTCTCAAACTGGACATTTTTCTACCAAGATTACAAAGCACAGCTCGGTTCTATGCATGTTTTCTCTGATATAACAGCTGTGAACACAAGATCTGTCAAGCATGCTAAGTAGAGCCTGATTCTATGCATATTTGCTAGAAAGTAAACACATATTATACTGGACTGGGAAAGACAGTAATCTCCAATTTCTAAATAGCCTTGGTTTAAATATTCTGATATTTAAACACCTGTAATGTAAAATTTAAAGATATTAAGCAGTAGAGAATTTAAAGTTTAAATGGCTTTTCATTGCTTTCCCCCCTCATTATAGATCAGATATAAGAATGGGATTTTTGTGCTTAGTACTGAAAAAATTCTCTCCCTGATGCTGGTTGCAATTGAGATGGCTGACCCAGAGCTAGTCTACTACTAGCAGTCTTGAAAATGTTACTTCTTTGACGAACTCTCAACGTAGCACTGCCCAGCTAAGCCCAAAGTCTTATCCCTCTCACTGGTAAACTCACAAAATGGTACAGCATTAAAATGGCCTAAAACTTACCATAGGAGTGCATGTCCTATTTCTTCATTCATGTTATACAATGTTAATGTTATATCAAACAAATGCTTTTGATCAGAGATAAGGTTCATGCATAAAGAAGGAATATAATCCTCTTGTACTGCAGACTTGTTAACATGAGGATGCCCAAAGCTTGAAAAGGTTTCTTTTGGTGATTGAAATTCTCAGAATCCCTTACCTGCATGGCCAGTTCCAGGGAAAAGCAGTCAGGGAATTACTGCACACAGTACAGCACAAACCCCTGATAACAATAAATACTTGCGAGTGAATGGCTTCCCTATTGCACTAGCAGGATATTGTTGCCAATGGTGGTTCCAGCACAACTGAATTCTGCATCTGTAAGCAGCCAAGTCATGCTGGAGCCACAGATGAGCATTGCAGAGACTTATTTTGCTTCCAAGAAATAAACAATAACTGTAAGATTGAACAGCAACTTTTTGCTCATACCAAGGAACCCTATCTTTGTGAATTTATGAATTTTACACACAGAAGGCTAAAGAATCCCACATGCAACATGACAAGCAGACTGTGTTTTCCACACAGGTATATCCATCATGAACTCAGATCCTTTCTTTTGTCACTTCTCTCCAGGATGTGTTGTTTGCAGATAACGGTATAGCTACAAACCTCACCTACTTTCTGCCTAATGTACACCACAATGTGTTGCTACTGCATTCAGTTCTTTGAACCAGGATGTTTGATCTCCACTGGAATGACTTGGACAGGAGCCAGTTGTAAAGAATCCAGTTGCTCGAGCATAGAAAATTGTCCCCGTATTACTAACATGGCTGCATGCAAGAAAGTCAGCAAAGTCTAGCAGATTTACTCTCATATTTATCTCCTTCAGCCCCAAAGGGGAGGCAGGGAATGGAAGAGCTTAATTTCCTCTTTTTCTCTATTGCCGACATATTTCAAGCCACCATCCAGTCACCTAGGGGAAGGGCGGACCAAATGAATATTGCTTAGCTGCCTGAGCACTGGCAGCTGCCCAAGGAGTGGCCTCGATCTGTCAGATTCCTCCAGAAACAGGCTTTCTTTCCATGCTCTCTCTCTGGGTTTCTGCTGTTACCCTTTTAGCAACTCTCTTCCAGATAAAGTTTCCTGGTGACACCGGTCCCTTCTATGTCAGTGGCCAGTCAGAACAAAACTCCAATCCTGAGAGCCTTCATGATGCTTTCCTTGCTCCTCATTGGCTAAGAGGTTCAGCAACACAAAGCAGATGTGCTGGTAAAAATTTACAATACATTCTCCCTGGCCTTTTCTTTCTTTCTTTTTTGCTTTTGACACAGAAGCAAAAAAGGGAAACCTGATTCTAAGCATTCTGCAGGTTGCAGCTGATCTACTCTCTGCTGTGCTCTCCCCGAGATGCAGGAAATATTCTAGTTCATAGACAGCACACATTTGAAAGTGGAGTTATTTTCACAAAGCAGAGTGGGTTCAGCCAAGGTTTCTGAAGAAGAGCAAAGCTGTGAACTGAGTTGGCTGGTCTCAGTATACAAGTTTACTACTCTGGATTACACTGGATGTGAGGCATTCTTCTACATCATGAAGAAGTTATCCGGGACTTGTCGTCAACAAGTCCTTACTATCACAATGCTGCTTCTGATCAAGCAGGTAAGAAACCGTGCTGTTTTAAGGAGAATCTGTTGTCAAATATAAGCATTCCTTTAAGTGCTGGGCACACAAGTGGTGTACCACACTCACAAATAGTGCTTGTTTGGTGGCAATTTGAGTAATATATAACTACTTGAGCTATAACTCTTTGGATGGCAGGTACTCCCTGTCTTGTGATCTCTCACAACTCCATTTTTTCCCCATTGTAGTGGCAATAAGATTTTGATTAATTAGTCTTAACACTGGTCTGCTTTTAAATGTTATCCACTTATAAGTTTGAGATAACTACATTTCCCTCATTTCACTTTCCCCCTCTCCCTTTGTCAGGACCACCCTAAGTTATATGCAAGGCTTCGAAGGGGAAACATTAGAAATAGTACACATGTATACATAAATATTTTAAAATGTCACATTCACCACAAAACCTTCACAGAAACCCAGAAAAAACGTATTGTATTTTCTAAACACCAGAAACACTTATTTGCCATTTTATTTTGCTGTTTAACCAGACTACTGTCCTTTCTTTAGAATCAAGCTGAAGAATATATATCTAACTATTAGATATATGCTCTCGGATACTGGTTAAAAACCAGACCCCACTTTCTTGGTAGTTGCCTTACTCAGATAACCTGATAAATATAATTTACAGGCCTTGCAATTTTATGGGTTTTTAAATGTTGAGAACAAATAATTAATCCCTCTTTTATGGCTGAACTAGCAATCCGACCTCTTCCTTGGTGGTTTTACTATGGATGTTGTTTGTTTTGGCAATCAACATCCCCAGGTTGGGATGTAGTGTTGTGTATGGATCTCGTCATGCTATCATAGATCCACTTTAAATCTGGTTTCTGTCTCCTGCAGAATTATGGGACTTGTAGTTTAGGGAGGGCCTTTAAACTGCTCAGCCAGGTAGGTCCAGGACCTCACTAAACTACAAACCCCAGAATTCTGCAGGAGGCAGAAACCGGATTTAAAGTAGATCCATGTTCAGATGTAATGACACTGTATGTTTACTTAGATTTCTTAGATTACGTTCCGGTCCAGCTTACCTGTCCAAATGCACCCTTTATGATCTGGTGCAACTGTTAAGATCTTCTGGGGAGGCCCTGCTCTCGGTCCTACCCTCATTGCAGGTGTGGTTGGTGGGGATGAGAGATAGGGCCTTCTCGGTGATGGCCCCACGACTGTGGAACTCCCCCCCCAGTGACATCAGAACAGCCCCCTCACTCTTAAGCTTCAGGAAGAATCTTAAGACCTGGCTAATTAAGCAAGCCTTTGAGGATTAATATAACCCATAAGTATGATGGAAGAATGGCAAAGCAATTGGTTCAATGTTTACAAAGCTCAGTTGGTGCTAGACTTTTGATATGTTTGATATGTTTTAATCATTTGAAAAACTATTTTAATAATATGTATATGTTTTTACAGTTTTATAATATTGTGCTTTACTGATATTGTTATTGTCTGAATCTGGCATTGAATTATTGCCATAGTTTATAAGCTGCCCTAAGTCCACTTTTAGGGGTGAGAAGGGTGGGGTATAAGTATAGCAAATAAACAGATAAATAGATTTCAGTAAATTAAAACAAATCAGTTAGCTTGTAAACATATGGCTCAGCTTCATAAGAAACGTTCACTGGACAATATGATGCATAATAACTGTTGTGCCAATCTAGCATGACCCACAGAGTTACCTTAGTGTCATATGTTAATACATGATATTTCTCAGGAGACGTAGTATGTCTTTGTTTATCGTGATTGTTCTGTTGTTAATGCTGATGGTTGATACTTCTGTCATCAGATACCAACAGTGTCATATTATTATTGGCAATGTTGCACCACTCTATTCTTATTGTAATAACAAAAACCTAGAAAGTATGATATAACAAATGACTTATTATAATATATATAAAAAATGTAGGCCTGTTGCTTGGAAAGTTCAGTAGCAGTAACAATAAGTTAAAGAGGCAGAAATTCACCCTGGTGTAGTGAAGTGTGTATAATCCAGGGCAAAAAGCAAGTGAAATCACATGAAATCATGCCAACCTTCAAAATGTAAATTATGCCATTTGAATCTGACCAAGGAAACCAATTGGATAATGTTAGGGATATCACACCCTTTCAGCCTCAGAGATAGGTAATGGCAAGCCCTGCTGAACAAATGCCTAAGATAAACTTGCCCTAGGTTTGTGATAAGCCAGAAATGACTTTAACAGACACAACAACAACGAAAGCAAAAACAACAGAATAAGGATGGGGTGGGGGATTGTTGCTTTCAGGGCTTCACATTGCTTCATTGAGATATAAGTACTTTTTTCATTCCCATCTTGATTGGAAAGACCAACTTGTATATTAACACATGACAAAACAAATCACCCAGTCACATTTCTAGTATATGGATATTCTTGAGCCAAATAAATCTTTAAAGCTGTTCTCAAATATTTGACTGTTTGGGGACATGAGCTCAAAATGGAATATGCTGTTGCATGGTTGCAGAACCAATTTATTAGTTATTCTGATTTATGTCGATGAGAGACCTAGCAAGGAAATTCCCTAGATGGGGCACAACTCTTTCAAAACATGGAATCATAATGCAATAAATCACAAGAAGATACTTTTAAAAATACGGCAATGCTGGTATAACGTCAGCGGAGAAGCAATGCAAAGCCAGCACATAAAAAGAAGTACAAAAGCCACCATTAGAAAATGTAATCGAAGCAAAGAGTTGAAATGATTTCATGCTGGAAATGAGCAAGGGTTCATTTCATTGTTTTGTATAAAAATTTATGAAAATGATGAATTTTTCATATTTAAACAGAAAGAATCTGAGTTTTTTAAAAAAAATTCTAATGACAAAAAGTTGCACATTTCCCTGTGTCACTTCAATAAAGAAGCTAAAACCACCAACATGTTAGCGCAACTAAAAGAGATGTATTTAAAAGCTGAAACAAAAAAGAAAAAGAAAAAAGAAGGTTATTCTGTGGTAGAAAATAAGGCAGTGTTGGCATCTGGTGAACTTTCCGTAATTGGGGCCTGAATTACTGAAGTAGGTTCTTTCTTTAATGACTTAGTAATTGAGAGCTTGAGAATGTAGAAAAGAGCATCTGGAGATGATCCTATTGTACAGATAGACTAATAAAGGATGCAGTCCATTGATACCAAAGTCTCAATTCATATAGCAGTTATAGATCAAACCTTTGGACTGGACCACATGCACTGGAAGTGTGTACATGCATGAAATGTCCAGTGAAATAGGTTCAAATCTCTGTCTAATTTTGTATCAGTTGTACCAGAGCAGTGTAGATTTTGAGGATTGGACTAGAGCTGCAGAGGCCATAAATCCAGTTGCCACAGTCACAGAAACCATTAACCCAAGAAAGGTAGTGGCAACATCCCTTTGAAGAAATGTTGCAAAGACAAGTGGAATAGGGTCATGGTAGGGCACCTAGCAACAACAAACCTCTGAGGATGCCTGCCATAGATACCATAGACACAGGCAAAAGACATTCTGAGAAATTAACCTAGAAGCTTCAAGCCCTGGGAAGATCCTGAACTGCCCACCCCTTAATACAAGGGTATTAGGCCTGTGCGGTTTCGTTCGTTAATTTTGTAATTCGTTATTAATTCGTTATTTTTAGCATTTACTAAGCGATATTCGTTCGTTAATTTTGTAATTCGTTAAATATTCGTTATTTTTAGCATTTACGAAACGATAACAAAACACATTTTCAAACCCGGAAGGGTTTAAAAATATCGAACCGGCAACCTCCATAGTTTTAACGAGCTTCCGCCCGTTTCGTAAATGGGATGGAGGCTGCTGGTGCCCTGGGAGCCAATCCGGCGCTCCCAAGCACCCAAGCAGTGCACCGTGGCTGTTTCTGATTGGCCGGCGAGCCCTTTAAAAGCGGCTCCGCGCGGCCGTAGCTCATTGCTGCAGAGGGCGAGGGAGAGAGAAGAGGTCCGGGAGGGTTTGCATTGGGTTGGCTTGGCTTGGCTTGGCTAGCAACTGGATTGGATTCATTCCTTGCTAATTCCTTGCTTGGATTCATTCCTTGCTGCTGTGCTTAGTGCTGCTTATATTCCTTGCTTGGATTCATTACTTCCTTCGGTTTTTGTGAATTTTTTTCGTTAATTTTCCATTTTTAAATATTTTTTAATATTATTTTTTAATATTATTTTTTAATATTATTTTAATATTATTCTTAAAAAATAATTCTAAAAAAGAAAAGACTCTTCTGTCGGTGTGTGCTCTCATTTGCTGTCTCCTGCCTGTGTTTGCTACATCAGGGCCATTTTTTGGTTCAGTTTCCATTTTTGAATATTTTTTAATATTATTTTTTAATATTATTATATTATTCTTAAAAAATACAAAAAATATTCTAAAAAAGAAAAGACTCTTCTGTTGCTGTGTGCTCTCATTTGCTGTCTCCTGCCTGTGTTAGCTCTACATCAGGGCCATTTTTTGGTTCAGTTTCCATTTTTGAATATTTTTTAATATTATTTTTTATAATATTATTCTTAAAAAATACAAAAAATATTCTAAAAAAGAAAAGACTCTTCTGTTGGTGTGTGCTCTCATTTGCTGTCTCCTTCCTGTGTTTGGTCACATCAGGGCCAGTTTTTGGTTAATTTTCCATTTCTGAATATTTTCTAAAAATACCTGTCTTTTATTCTTAAAAAAATACAAAAAATATTCTAAAAAAATAAAAGAGTCTTCGGTGGCTGTGTGTGCATTTGTCATTTGTGTAGTTCCAACCAGTGTGCTCCTTTTGCCAACACAAAGTGCTACATACACTGCTCGCTCATTTGTGTAGTTCCAACCAGTGCGCTCCTTTTGCCAACACAAAGTGCTATAATACAGTGCTCGCTCATTTGTGTAGTTCCAACCAGTGCGCTCCTTTTGACAACACAAAGTGCTATAATACAGTGCTCGCTCATTTGTGTAGTTCCAACCAGTGCGCTCCTTTTGCCAACACAAAGTGCTACATACACTGCTCGCT